TTATGAAATCCTCCTCGTCTTCTTTACAAGGATTCATTCTTCCAAACAATCAAGGATTTGAGAATGATCCTCAAAGGATGAGTGATGTGGCAGCTGATTATTATGAAAACCTATTTAGCGAACCTGAAGTCTATCGTCCTCATCCATATACTGATATTCCTTGCAGAGCTGACTGGGATAATGAAGATGAGGCCATACCTATATGTAGCTTTAACGAGGTGTTGGAAATTGTGCGTTCTCGCAAGAAAAAGAAATCTTTAGATCCAAACGGTTTATCTAATCACATGTTTAGCTTCCTTCCTCCTATGTACTGGTCGTTATTACTTAAGATTTTCAATAATTCTCTCTTGCATGGTATCTTTCCTTCCAAATGGAAAGATTCTCGTGTTCTGCTATTAGCTAAAAAAGATCATATTTGCAGCCCTGATGCTACGCGCCCTATATCACTTATCGATTGTTTCCTCAAAGTGAACGAAAAGATCTTCCTAACAAGGTTTAATGAAGTCCTGCAAAAACGTGGACTACTACCCGATGCCCAATCGGGATTTCGTTCGAAATTCCGATTACAAACTAGAGTTCTCCTTTTCTTTGATCAAGTTCGTAGTCTGATGTCTAATGGTTGTCCAGTAGCATCCGTTTTCGTGGATTTCAAGAGCGCGTTTGATGCTCTCTGGTATGATGGTTGTATTGGCAAACTGAAATTGTTAGGAATTCCTAGGGCTTATCGGATTTGGATCAACACATGGTTGAGGGATAGGCGTGCCTTCATTGAGATTTGTGGTAAGCGGTCGAGGTGGTTCAATATTTTCAGAGGTGGACCTCAAGGGTCCATCTTTACTCCGACTCTCTTTATCTGTTATCATTCCGATATGTGCGAATATCTGAGTTCATGTTTGAGCTTTATGTTCGCTGACGACCTTGCAGCTGTTCTAGCCGGTTCTATTGGATTGAAGTACTCGCTCCAATGTTTAAATCTCGAGAAGAAACTCAAATATTTCTTTGATCAGTTAGAATTTTACTCTGTTTTAACGGTTCAACCGTTAAATTACAACAAGACACAGGCTATTTTTTCATCCAGAGTACCCGGATATCCTAAGTTTGATCTGCGTTGTGGTGAACATCCCATCGATTGGACAAATCAGTTAAAATATCTTGGTTACGTTGTCACGCCCAAGTTAGGTTTCGGCCTTATGATTGAGCAATCTAAGCTCAAGATTAGACAACGAATTGCTCAAATTAACTCATTTAGGCTTTTTCGTAGGACCTCCCCTTCTCTACGCAAAATCCTCTTCTTCTCTTATGTCTATCCTCTATTCGTATGGTTGTTTCCCTTGTACCCACTCTTTACTGAAACACAGCAACAAGACTTGAACCACTTCTACTTCGTTTGCCTTCGTAGAGTTCTCTATGCCCTGCACATTAATAATGATCTTTTTGCGTTCTGTCTCAATGAAAAATCCCTTGAAGACCGCTGTAAAAACTACTTCGAAAAGTATTTCGAAGCCTGGTCGGATACGATTGATGGCAGACTAATTTTCGAATTAGCTAACGTCAATTTCTTCCGGGAACAGTGGCTTAAGAATAAATATCCAGTTAAGGGTACTCATAGAACTAAAAGATTCATCGGCCACACCTCTGTTTTGGAAAAATGCGCTACGTGGTGCGCAAGTATTCCCCCCAATCATTCCACCATCAACTATGATATTGATGATGTCATGACCTTGGCCGATTTCCCTGAATCGTTCTGAAGTTTTTTTCTTTTCTCCTTCCTCTTGTCTTCTTCTTCTTTGGATCTTGTTACTGTTGTTGTAACAAATATGTAACTATGTATTACATATTCTTGTTTCTCTCCTCTTTGTGTTGATCTGTTTTGTTTTTGTACCTCTTTTGTTACTGTCTAATGCTACTCTTCTCATATTTATATATACTAAACTATACTATTTTTTTTCTATTTTCTTTCTCTCTCTTCTAACTCAATCATGTACTGTAAGGACCTTTAAGGTCGTCAGTCTCATTCTGCCTAAATAAATAAAAATAAAACATAGTAATAAAGAAAATAAATAAAACAGCAATAGTAGCAATTACATCAACAATTGTAACTAACGAAGCAGACTACAAAATAAATATGAACTGTTTTTAGAAAAAATGAATAGAATTTTAGTTAAACATATTATAAGTAATCCTGTTCGATAATGTTGATGAAGAACATATAAACTAAATTCATATAAAATAATCAAAATTATATTAACAATTATAATATAAATATGTCTATAATAAGCAATTGTCCATAATGAATTACTTATAACCATTGAATATGTATTCAATGGTAAATGAATAAAATCCAATATCTATACAAATATTTTTTTTTACTGATTTAATAGTGTCTAATTATAAATAAAAACGTTTTATTTCTTATCAATAAGGATATGAATGTATTAAACATATATTGATAAGTTGTTTTTATACTTACACATTGTTCATGTAAGATTGAATTATTCGAAATATCATTGACTTTCATCATTCTGTTGCTGCGAATAATGACAACATTAACAAGTATAGTACTCATTTGTGTATATAATCTTAATCTTACGTTAGATGAAATTATACAAAAAAAAACATGACAATAAGACAAGAAAAAAATCATAATTCTTCACTTATATATACTGTGATCATTAATTAATGTCAAAAGAAAAGAAATATATATATACTGATAAACAGATTTGACGAAAATTCATAATCCAGGATTATATCTACAATTATTATATTTCATAATACAGATGGGTGTGGATGTGGGAAAACAGAAGGAAATCACACACACATGCTCAAAGGAAATATTTGATTGAACTTTTAAAAGTCTACATGTTTGCACTTAACCATTTAAAGTTAAGAAAATCTAAGAGAGTTTCGGAATTTATAAGCGAAATCTTATGAGCGTTCTGTAATTGATTTACAGTTTTACGCATTATGCACTAAACCTCTTACAGTTTCGAAAACTGGTTAATGGATCACTACACATTTCACTGAACTTTCGATAGTTTCATACATCATGCACTGAACTTTGGTTGACGACAGAAGTTAATTTGTGGTTTCATAAAATAAAGAAGATGTCATGTGATATTTACTATATTCATTTATTTTTTCAATCAAATGAATATTTTTTAAGTGACAGTGTTGATATAAAATATTATCAAATGTGACTTTGAAAGTACGCTTATTAGTGAGTTCGCATCATTAATCACAAAAACTCAATTTACGAAGACTGTCTAAATTTGATTCATTCGTTTTTCTCGAATTTTGCGTCTCTTTCACCAATTATGATCACTTGATTCGTCACAACTGCTCAAGATTTCATTCATGAGAATAATCTTGTTCTCATATTCGTTTACTTTTTGAGGATAAGTTTAAATACCTTGCATACAAGTCATTTTTCAATCATATTACATCACTTTTTCCGATTTAATATTCGTTAAGTTGCAAGAGAAGCTGAATCTAGTGTGATTCTAATGTTATTGATAAATTTCAACAAGATTCTAGAAACTTGCTCTCTGAAAAATCCAGTAATTATGTAGAACACTATATACCAATAGGGTGCGGGTGTCTTGTACATGTGTACACGCACAGCCTCACATCCACCTAGTCACCCACGCATAGACCCTTATATTCACCCAGCTACCCATACCCACCCACCCTCAGAATCTGTTTTAATATCATGTAAAACTTTTTGTTCTAAATCACACCTTTTACTTTCATCAAGCAGAATAATTTTAGTTTGTTTTTGTCTTCTCATTCTTATCTGTTACAAAGATCTCTATGAATACATTTGCCTTCAACATTAAATGGTGTGATACTGTGCATCTGTTTATTTGCTCTGACCCTAGAATCGCATATCGATGCTCTATATTTTTACTCTCTCCATTTGTAATGAAAATGAAAAAGTAATGAATATATACGAGTTTAATTAGCATCTGTGATGGGCCATTATTTCAACAATTATTGAACTTTACATAAAATCTTGTATACCTACCATTGCTCTTGAAGTTAGAAAAGAGTTGTGCATATACATAAAGAAAAAGATGATAAGAAGGATAATATCACATGACAATAATATCATTGTGATGAATGATGTGTCTTTTTGTATAATCATCAATTTTACTCTAAAATTGCCTTCTTCTCCTTATCTATTACAGTTATTAAGCGGCCCTCCACGAGCTCCTTTTCAAAGGTGAGCTTTTTGATAAAAAATATCAAGAATTCTTTTGTATTATATTATTCCCAAGTAAGATAAGTGTACCTTTTATTTCAAGTAAACAGTCGTTGTCTTTTTTTCATTTTTTACAATCAAAATAATCCTTTACAGTAAGTTTCATTTCTACTTAGATTCGTGTGTTCTAACTTTTTTTTCACCAAAACATATAGTATCAAAATTTTGATTAATACGAGAAGACACATCTTTTTATTAATTGGCAATCGTTGCACCGTAAATTCCTAACGAATTCTTACAAGATTCTGTAGAAAGCAGCTTGATCACCGTTAAACTTTAATGTAAGACAGGAAATCGATGAATCTGAATAGAGTTATTTCATCCTTTCCATCTTGATGGTGTGGGTGCGGGTACTATATGTTGATATTGTATCCACACCCACACCCCTGATGCTCTTCAGAAACCCTGATAGACTCTGGTAGACCTCAGTAAATTCTGCTGAACCTAGATAGGCCCTGGGTATCGTGATAAACTCTGGAAAATCTTGTATGAGCTTAGTGAACTCTGATAGGTCTCGGGAATCCTAGCAGATCGTCTCGACGATGAATATGGGTGTGGTTGTTCTTTTATTTTTATACACATATCCTCATCTACACCGACGCTCTCATTGATGTAACACATATTTTATGTTTTGACTTTATGTTTTAGATAACTAATATATACTTTTTATCGTAACGTAACTGTTCAGTGACGACGCTTTTGATAAACGAAGAAAATTATCAATTTCTGTTTAATTAACATGAAAAAACAACACCAAATATTAAATATAATATTGGTATTATTTGTTCTTAGCAACGAGTTATTGACCACTGAAAGTAATGACAAAATAATCGATAACGTTGCATACTTTCAAGGATCCAGTTCAAAAAGTCAAGTAAGTGGAAAAAAAGGAAAAGTGATCACATACAATAGTAATGATGGATCGCATGATTTCACTGCCTTCTACAATGGCACGTTTGTAACTCAAAAGGCTGGTGTTTATCTCGGAGTATTCGCTGTTCAAATTAGTGGTCCACGTAGAAACGGTAAAGGAAACATTGATATGTGGATGCGACAAGATGGTGAGGATGTGCCTGACTCAAATAGTATACAATCGGTCGATCATGGAAGTACATCGGTTCTTGTCTATTCAACACTTTTCCAGGCTTCTGCCAATTATAAATTCGAATTAGCTTACTCAGCCTTCACAGATGAAGAATGTACTCGTCTCGGCTTGATTGCTACACAACCAGAAAACGAACCCTTAGTTCCCAGTATTATACTCACCATTGTCCAGCTTAGCGATGGTACTAATACAATTCCTTATGCACAACTTTTCAGTTCGAAGACTCAGTTGGGTAACTCGGTTTCAGAGGTGATTATACTCGATAGCGTTAGTGCAGCCAATAGAATAGATATAACAACGCCCGAAGACCATGGAACCATCAAGTATAGTGAAGCAGGTGTTTATTTTCTGGTAGCTAATGCCGAGGTTGGAAGTGCTGAAGGTACTCATGCATCGGGTGAAGTTCATTTATGGATGCGACGCAATGGAAAAGACATACCTAACAGTAACACAATTCAAACTATTCGCAATGGTAGTGCAGTAATTCTAATCTGTCAGACAGTTATTAAACTTGAAGCTAAGGATAAAGTTCAACTAGTATTCTCAACTACAAATAAAGAACTGGGTGTGATTGTGTCGAAGCCAAAGAACGAGCCAAGAGTGCCTGGTATGATATTTGCAACATTTCAGTTGCTTAACGAAGAAAAACCAATTCCATATGCACAGTTATCTAGTTCACAATCGCAATGGGGTTGTATAACTCCAAAAACAGTTAAACTTGATAACAATGACGGTTTACAATGTATCAAAAATAATAATGGTATCATTGAGTTCGAAGAGTCGGGAACTTACTTTGTGATGGCTGCTGCTCAGTGTGGAAGTGATAAAGATGATGGTATTGGTGATGTACATTTGTGGATGAAACTAAATGGAAAGAACATAGCAAATTCGAACACCATTCAGACAGTAAATAAAGATACTGCTGTTTTAGTTTGTCAAACTGCCATGGTAATCCAAGCTGGCGACAAACTCGAAATGATATTCTCGACAGATGTTACATCAGGTACACTCGGCTTAGTTGCATCCAAACCACATAAGGAATCAGCTGTGCCCAGTATGATTGTTAGTGTTTTCAAATCAAGCTATTTAAAACGCAGTTATACATGATTCGACATTTAGTGACAAGTTTAGTGGAAAAAACAATTATCTTAACTTCATTTTTATCAATATCTTTTCTTGTAACAAAAATAAAAAAGTATTTAGCCCTTTGATTATAATATTTTTTTAAAGAATAAAATCACTCACTTTCTCATTAAAGAAGAGAGTCATGTATGCTTATATAAATTTAACAAACCCTAAATATATTCATTTAGAGAAATATCTCTAATTCATATTTAAAAAGATTAGCTGCTCATAGTATTTCTATTAAAACAATTGTTACAGTCAAGGTTTTTTCATAAATTTTATGATACAGATATAGAACAATATACTGTAATTTTCTATCGAAGAGAATCTTCATAAATATACTTGTGTGGTTTTCATTGTTGCAATGATTCGAAAAAGAACAATTGTCAGTACTTACATATTAGGATGGATTTAAACAATTTAGAGGAAATGACAACACAACTAATTTAAAAAATTGTTTAATTATCAGTAAAAACTGTTACTTTGAGTTAATTTTGATAATATTATGAGTAAAAAACAAGAATTCAGAAGGTTAATAAATAATACCATGAAAATAGATCACTGAACTTCAGTTAAGTGTTCGTATTTTTTATTAAAATAATACTCACGACCATTTCTGTCTGAAATAGACAAAAGTCGTGGGTGTGGATGTTATATATTGATAACGTATCCATACCCACCCACACCCACCCACACCCACATCCACACTCTCACACCTATACTCAAATCTACACCCACATTCATATCCACACCTACACTAGGGAGCTACTGGTCAATCCAGACTCGATCCAGACCCGGAACCCGACCAGATCTGAGTTGGGTCTGGGTCTAACAAAAAAAATATTTCGCGGGTCTGGGTTGGGTACGAGTCTAATAAATTGTTTTTTTCTTGGGTATGGATCGGATCCGGGTCCAAAAAATCGTGGACCCGCAGCTCTCTAACCTACACCTTTTCTTCTTTATTATATTATTA